AATATCATAACATTCTTGAAGCAGCAAAACAGCGATAATTGCGCTCTCTATATTTGGTCGAATCACTATGTACTTTGAAATCTAATGAGCTACCTTTAATGCAAAGCAAATATTTAACGTCCAAACATATGCACAATTAAGCAATACAATAAGGATCGGTTTGCGTGGACTCTGACACAATGATGGAACGTTTGATTTTAGCTTATGTCAAGCATCTTAGCGTGGGGATAAACTGTAAGACACGGGTCCGATAACTTACTTGGACTATTTAAGTGACCTTGATTATTTGAGAAATAGGAAAGAGAGAAAGTGAGAGGGGGTAAGAGAAAAGACTTCCAATGTGACCACACTAAGGGAACAGTTCGAGATGCATCCATTCTCTGCAGTGTAAGCAGGTTTTGTGATTTTTTGTTTTTTAACGCTCATTTCAGCAGTATAACATGTCAATTTTATATACGATAGTTCAGAGAATCAATAAATTTTTGTTCAATGATTTTAAACTACAAACTCCCCCATTTCTATGTTATTCACTTCTTATGCGTTTTAGGTTGTTTCCCAAAAATACTAGTAACAGGTGTATTTTCTCATATCCATGAAAGTAGTAATGCGCTAGAATCTTTTTTCCATGAGTTATATGCCGTTTGCCCTAAAATGCACTAAGTATTGGATGTTCAGGTATAACGTGACATTGTGGGTGGGTGGAATTTATCAGGACAGATACGTGATTGCTATCACAATCTGGTAGGCAGATCTAACGGCATACCAATGATAAGGGAGTAAAAAAACTATCACAAATATCTATTTGTCACAAGCTCGATTAAAATAATCAAAACAAATTAATGTTCTATGTTCTATCCTTAAAAAATAAACAAATGAGAACATTATTAATTCTAAGCATTATGGTTGCATTGCTATATATATGACACTGAAAAATACGAGAAAAGTGAAAATCATAAATATATAACGTGTGCTGTGTTACCTTCGTATTTAGATGAAATTATACCTTCTTCATTCTTCGTCTGAAAGCAATGCTACGATGCAAGGTTATGTGAAAAGCTATGAAATGAATAGAAAATTAAAGACGCCGCGTGGATTAGCGTTATTAATGCGATCTAACTCCCTGCAAAATCCGTCTGTCTCCTGCCTAAAATGTAATTTTGAACATAGGAACACTATTACAGTTTTGGAGGTTTAAATCGCCACGTGAGACATTTAACCCGATTTGATATAAAAAATGTTCAAGACTTAACTTTTTCCGTACAGGGCATCTGATAAAATATTCTCACCACGCAGATAAAAGGAGACTCGTCTGCCCTTATAAATGATAATTTTCCAGTTTTCAAACAATAACTCTTGTATACTTGTGATTTGCTTGTCTGCAAAATGTTCAGAGAGACCTCGGCTTGATAGTTATCCAGTGTATCTGTATAAAAAACCAGTCGTGATTAAGATTAAATAGAACCAATAACTCATTTTTATTGCTATTTTAATCACGTTTGAGGAACCGAGAGACGAAAGCACTGCATATGCGGTCACAAGATGTGCGACGTGTGGTTTTTTTCTAGTCATTAATTAAAATAATCTATCCATCCGAGCACCAGGACACAAGCACGCGCCCACGCACACACGAGCTCATGCCGCCGAAGATGAGACCCGACATGATTCATGACCCCCTCCCCTGTATCTTCGGGCCGCAGTTAAACCATCATATACTAGTATATTATTCTTTGGAAGCAACCTGTATAAAGACATCAGATGATTACATAAAGCGTTGTCATGTACCAGCACACACTTTAATACATTTTAGTTAAGAACGAGACAAACTGGTTATCAGGCAAGTTTAATTTATGGTCTTCTGTTCCGGACTTGATAGAGCTATCGTAGAGACGGTAGCTTATGCTACTTTTGCAACTGGAGGGGCCCGCGCCAGTCCGGAGGATTGTATTAAATCACACTATTTTGACGTCTGCGTTCTTTTAAAAATAAAAAAATATCATAAAAGCGTGTTGTAATGACTGAAAAAGGCACACCAATGGATCGCGACCTTAAGTTGACTGTTGTCTAATGATGTAAGTCCATATAGCGAAAAAATACAAAAGCTGAGCATGAGAAGCATTTTATATTGAACTTCTGCTTTTGTTCAATCGATTTTAGGGAATGTCATATTTTCACTTTCCCATAAAAACTGTGTCATCTGGGGGACTTTAACGGAACAATCGGTTCTATAAGCGTTTTTTAAAGAAAATAGCACCCGAAAAGAATATGCCGAATACACTTACTTGACACACACACACAGCAGAATGCTGAGAGTTCAGAAGTTAGGAAAACAGCAAAATAACTCGGTAAATATATACGTCAGTGAGACGGGGTGGTTATTTGATACAACAAGGTACATGTACATGAACAGATGTAGAAGAAACGCGTAGCTAATGCAGAGTATACTATTTGGTTTTGAAGAACCCCTCAAACAGATTTGCTTGACACCATATCGCGTTACCGTCTTTTTATTTGAACTGGGTAAAATGTATGAAGGAGATTTCTTCCTTTTTGAAAAAATTGTTTCCGTCGTGGGAGGCTTACTACCGAGCACATCGTTTACACAGTATACTTTTTCCAGGTCGCAGTTGACAATGTGGGTTAAATAAGAGAACAAACCAAATAGCAAAGGTTACTTACATTAAGTGGACAAATTTAGACTGAGTAAAAATTTGAATGGAGGCAGTAACTTACACACCAGTGTTCTATTAAATCATATTCCCTGCGATAATCATAATTAGATAATTGAAAAGGAAAACAAAATATTTGTTTTAATAAAAATTACGGGGGTGCTTGAAATTGTACACATTCTGGTGGACATTCTAATGTTTCAGTTAATTCACAAAATGTTGCTGCATGAAATAAAGGTTATTCACATCAAGAGGACGTGAATAGGTAAAATCCACCTTTGACCTAATAGGGACAATAGTTCATATAAGACAAATTCTAATCATACATGTAAAATGAAGATGGCATGACATTTTTCTTAACGGGGGCAACCTTTTTTGTGATAATTTATAAATATATTGGTTTTAAAAATTAATATTTGAGACCACCCAGGGCAACTGTGCACTTATTATTCCACTCAAACAAATGCCAAGCCTTGGCTGTTAGGCATGACAGTTACCTTTCCATCTCAATTCTTTCACAATACTCCAAGCATGTAATTGCACTATGGCAGGCAAATGTTTTCTGTATCTCCAATGTATCAATTCATATAACAATGGGTAAAATATGAATAAGGTAAAGTTGGAGAAGAGCATTTGATATATAAGTTCTCTTTCGGTCCATAGCTCAAACATGCAATTAATCTTCTGAGGCAAACCTGCAGGTATAATATTCACATATAAATGCATTTCATATTTTTAGAGGTTATTATTCCATCCATAATAAACAAATCCAGGTAGGTATATATATATATATATATATATATATATATATTCATATATATGTTCATAAATAAATGGTTTTTACCTGCCCAGGTTACGTTTCGACACTCACATAGGGGAAAGGACAAGAGACAAAAAAAAGTCAATGTATCTTTGTATTAATTTTGGTGCCTTCTCTTATTGCAAAATACAATACAACCCTAAATGGTAAAACATAAATTATGTATGTTGAGTGATCATCTTTGCATAAATGAAATGATTAACAGGTAAACTCAGCTGTTTGACTAATGAATATGCAACTCTTTAATTTAAGATCCGTTTTCAACGACAATATACAGGTGTAAAGGGAAAATCATGATCATACATAGCACATCATTTTCCTCTGAGAAAAAAAAGAAAATACAGATATAACTGCTGTTCATTAATTTTCAAGAAAATGACTACAAAAACATTGTAAGTGCCATTTCATATAAAGCAAATTAAGAAGTAAGCTCTGCCATAAGTCTTCCCTTCTCCCTCATCAACATAATAAGTCCCCGTCATTCTCAACAGAACAGGGGATCAGATCACAGGAAGTGATAAGACAGCCGCAGAAAATGCATTGTCCAAAATCAATAAACATGCAAATATCAATTGTAAATGACCTGGACTCTGGGCACTTTATCCCCTCACCACTGGAATTCTGCTTAACTGGACACGCACTATACTCCTGTTTTCGCAGGGGCATGATAGCAGCATGCTTGTGGCTGGGTTTTATTGTGTGCCTCATGGCTTGGGATATATGATTATAACACTTCATTAGGCCATACATCCTGTGTTTGAACTGGCACTCTGTGCGATCCCATGTAATAAACTAGGGCACTGCCAGGTTGAAAGATATAGATGGGATGTATAGTGCTAGCACTATAATAAATATATTTTTGAAAAGATGAATAAGAGTGCACAGGACTGAATATTCAGACTCCTAAGATATATGCTTGTCAAAGCTTGGCTACTGTCAACAAAAAATTGCAATTAGCTCAAATCATTTTGGTTTTGGAAAATATTCTAGGCTTTTAAAAGCAAAACATGGCATCATTTGAACTATTGATTGGAAATATAGATGTGTAAACCTATGCCTTTGCAGACAATATTAGTTTTATGTATAGTACTACATGAAGTACATGCAGGGGCGGATCCAGAGATATTTTCTGATAGTCTTCCAAATTGTCTTTGTTGATCCATCCTCCATTTTTGACCGTCTTCTGACAGAAAAAAATAGATACCCTTCAATGTAAACTTGAAAATCTGACCGTCTTCAGGAAGACCCAGAAGACGGCCTGAATCCGCCCCTGTACATGTAGCTAATGGTATCCACTGGCAAAGATGGCAAGAATTCAAAAACTTGCAAATTAAAAATTTGATAATAAATTGCATAAATACTGGCAAAAGTCAAGACACCATTGTGTGCTTTCGGCCTTTTTATGTCATCTTCTAGTCACCGATGAAGTTAACACAATAGGAGTAAAGTCCACTGTCCTGTACCACTCAATACCTGACCGTGTTCTCTGTAGAGTGTAAAATGTTATTATTTACCTGCTTGGAGCTACTGAATTGGCAAATGTATACAACGGAAATAACACTTTGCATTTCTTCCTATCAGATCGAGCATCAAAGGAAACCCACAGCCAATATTGACTTCACTGGAAGTGACCAAACAGTTTTGTCAACCTAAAAGTTGGATAAGGCCTCAAGCTGTTTTCCTGTTAGCAGAACAAGGATGGGCATTTTATTTTTAATGTATTAGGTCAACTGCTAAAACTGATAGCTTTTGGCTCAATGAGTTTTCACCTTGTCTAACATTTACACTTGACAACAAACTGACCATTGTTGATGTTGGTCTGTCCATATTTCACTCTGTATACAGAGCAATAAAAAGAACCACTTCATGATAAAAACTGGTTATCATTGCACAAATCATTGTATCAGATATAAAGATATTCTAACAGATAAAACAGATTAGATAGGATTGGAAAAATATCAGTCTTCTATTTCAAGCTACATTTTTTAATGGAGAGGGGGATGTCTATAAAAACTGAATGCAGCGTGAGGTGTGCTTCATACACAGCAAATCAAAACTAGGATATTACAGGTGTTGCCAGCAACAAGATGATAATTAACTGGACTTCCCAGCATTGCACAGTGACATTTACATAATAACCCAGTGTCATATGTACAATGTAGCAAAACTTACCATTAGAATGTGCTTCGTAATTCGATAAGTTACTTTCATGGAAAAGGTGGCAATGCAGATACATGTAATAAGAAATTAACCTGGTGTCAAATTATATCTAGGTAGGTCCAAAAACATGACAGATATGACTTTCTGACAAAACAGGCACCAAATGTTACAGCATTAAAAGTCAGTAACTATCAAGCACATTTTTGTAAGAAACTGCTTTGCATAATGCTGACAATTTTTGTAGCAAACAGTCACAATAATTCTTAAATTAATTGGCAAAAAAACTCAAGAAATCAAAATCTCATCAAGCTTATGCACCAACATCTGCTATCCTCAAATCCTAATATCAAAGGCATCTATCCACACCATGCATAATGGGGCCTTTCCAACTGAATATCAATTCTAGGAACATTTTTTCTACACGATTTTAGATAAAAATGTACATAACACAATTAATTCACAAATAATTATTAATTAACTAGGTGTCGTTTTAGCAATGAGAAAGAGACAGAGTGAGACAAAGATGCCTGGTCTACAGATATTTAGGCTGTATTTCACTCTAAGAATCATTCTAATAAGTTTGAGAATAATAAATCATTAAGTAACACCATTTTCCTGTTCTGATGTTGACAATTATGGTACACAAAATGTTTTTGGAAATTTTGTAATAATGTAATATTACATAATGCTTCATAGCATAATCACCACCAATTCTAATTATGCACCTCTCATTTTGTGTACACTTTTAGAAAATGTATCTAGTGCTTCAGGTCAACGGTATTACGTACGGTAGTATTGGTAGCTCAAAGTCACAACTTGAATAGGCCATTGTGTGAAAACATTACTACAAAAAAATACTAGTTATCTAATCAAGCTTGTTTTTGAACTAGAGATGTATTTCAGTCCTAGGAATTATTCTTATAAGTTTGAAATATAAATTAAGACAGTTCTCCTGTATTGGTGTTAAGAATAAAAGTGCACAGTGATGTCAGATTATGACATACAGGTGTGAAGGTTAAGTGTCCACTGTCTGTCCATAAAAAGTTTCATTCAATTTTTTAAAATTTGACAACAGCTAAATAAAAGAACACATTTGGATTTAATGTGTTTTTCATGGGAACATAGCATTATCATAAAGAACATTACTGCAAATTTGGTGAATCAAAATGTGTAGGTTCAAAAGAAAGTGCTTATTACACCTTCATCTGAGGACGCAAGGAAAAATTTGCAACCTTAATCTAAAATAAAGTCAGCACAATAAAAGACAGAGGTTACATATGAAGTTTATTGAGACTTTCAACCGTATTCATTAAAACACTGACTACAACTGAGAAATCATTTGCAATCATTTTCCATACAAGGTTTCAGTGTTTCTTCACAACTTTAGAAACATAAGCACATTACATATCTAGCAATCATGCACTGGATTTTTAACTACCAATAAAGAGAAGCAACCTTTGATTACACTTAATGATAAATGTATATTTTTTTGACAATATAAACTATTTGCTAAATAACAAAATCAATAAGAAAAATTCTGAATGTTGAACCATGTATATTTTAAAATGATGGATATCCAACATTACATACTTATTAAAGAGATGAAACACACATTTGAACATTAACACCCATAAACAACATCAAATGCTATATTTATTTCTTCACGTGGATTTTTTCACCCATTACACAACACCCAACCACAATAACTGGACAAATATTGACGTTAATATTTGTTTTTCCCCAAATTATAAACAGGTGTTCTCTAAGGCATGGCAGGAAACGAGGCCTACTGTGGTAGTTAAAATATCCCTTAGGATATTTTCGTGTACACAATGAATGGTGCAGACTTGTAATACGATAGGAAGCTACATTTTGTACAAACTTTACCTTGTCATTATTCTTTCAAAATCTGACCAAAGTCAGTGACGTAAATACTTTTTGTAGCAGTTCACAAAGTTAGCTTGGAGAAACCCCTAGGCAGGTTTACTACTGGGGACAAAAACATGGTCCATTCCTAGTATGGATAAATTGTAAACTAAGCAGTAAATACTACCATAGTTTTTTTAATAAAAATTTAATGCAGTGCCTTAAAGCTGATGCCATTATGAACTCTAAAATTGATGCGTCCAAAAGTAAAGGGAAATGGTTAATAGTGTAAGCAAAAGAAACTGCTGTATAATTTATTTGCCTAACTTAAAGACTTTACAATACATTATAAAGATGTTCCTATTTTCAGTACAAACATACAGTTGTACATTGTACATCTTTTAAACCAAATTGTGACTGTATATACATGACTATAAGAAAACAAACTAATTTGGTGCAGGGATGAACTAAGGTCAAACAACAGCCTTGTATAAACTCTCATCCAACTCAACATCATTATCAGCATCATTATCTGATCCCCTCCAGGCCTCCTATGCACACCTCATCTCACTGAGATTTCCAACTTTGACTCAACAGTCTCATCTGTCTTGATCTACCCTGTGATCAAGCACTGTTATCAGACACTTGAAACAGAATACAAGTTTCACAAACTGACTTTGGTTTCTATTCTGTGACACAGTAAGATGCGTGGTGTTCAAATGACACCTATTACACAGGAGGTTGTTGACGAACACTCCCTTACATTAGGGTCAACTGGTCATTCCAGTCATACAGTTAATAACACAAAATTCATGGACATATAACACCTAGACATAATTTTTAATGGACACTTACATAACTACTAGTATGATCAGCTTAATCTAAAAAGCAAACAATGATTTGGAATACCAGAAATTATTTGAGCAAGCAAAGCATACTAAAATTTATAAATAGCTTATTAACATCAATTTTATTATTAAAATATTAGACAATTTAAATAAATCCTGTAGAGTGTAATCCTGTAATTTTTTTTTCATATCCATTAAACTCAAACTAAATAAATGCGCAATAGCTGGGCATCAAACACTCCCTGCTGACTGGTCATTCTTCGGTCACTTTCTGACACAAAAAGCCAGGTAAATACTTAGCTGGACATAACAAAAGATGTAACTGAGACACACGAAAACAACTTCACCATCAACTACACAATGTTTAACACTGACTTGAAAAGGGATATTTACTCCTCACACACAGAAAAAGTTGAACAATAGCACAGATAACCTAGACTGGGTGCTGTTTTTTTTTTTTTTTTTTTTACAAAACTTCAAAAAGTTAATGGAAAAAACATCATCATAACTACTGATAGGCATAATTATCATTTAACTGTCAGAATCATTTCTGTAAAATAAAAAAGTAAAGATAACAAGAAATTATCATAAACAAGTAATTTTCATAATGGTGCTTTGATACAGAACAGGGTTGGGTTTTTGTCTTTTTTTTTTGTTGCTTTTTTTCACTCGTTTTTTCTTTTATATTTTTGCAAAGATTTCTGTATCTCTTAATTGGGATTGAGAAAATTTAACTTTAAATCAAGTTGTTGAAAGAGACAGGCACACCTTATTTGCATCTGTTCACTTTAATGATTCAGTCTGAGTCTGAAGATCCCTCACTGTCAATAATTCCTTTCAGTCTGACAAACTTCTGCTTGGCAGGGGTATGTGGCTTTGTTGCAGGCTTATTTGTGGTACTGAAGGGTGAAGGCTCAGTGGCATAGCGACTATACACATTACGCCTTCGTGATCCACCTAAAAAGAAAATAAAGTTTTTTTTCTGATAAACAGACCTTTTTTTTATGATAGGATTTTTTTGCCATTTAAAAGAGGATGCAACAGATTAAAAAACAGAACAAAACAATCACATAAACACTTAGTCTAGTAATTTTTTAATATTCAGATGCCAATCATATGTTAGGAAAAAAATCAAAGTACTCTAATCAAAGCATCAAAAATCAACACAAACGTTGTGATTTCAACTGGAGGAATTACACAATATTTGCAGTTTCATGTTTAAAGAAATTCCAGTTAGACTGACTCATACACTTTTTTCCCATACAGCAAGTCTGACATTCAAAAAAGGGGGAAATACACCAGAAGAGCAATTCATGACACACAAAAGAGCAAGAAATACAGCCTAACAAGTTTTCTAAGCATCACTGACATGAACTTGAAGCAAATTACTTTTTTGAGTCCCTGCCAGGATTATATATTCAGTGTTGCTTCCTCCTTCTCGAAGCCAAAATAATAATAACAACAACAACAACGGTCTAATCAATTCAGAAATACCTTAAAAGAATCTTATTTCGTCCTACAATCATGTAGATTTTCGGGTCAGTAAACATACATAATACTCAAAGATAAATTTGTTAATACATTTATTCAAAATATTCTTGGGCTTCAGTCAGGCAGATCAAGCATCCTTTACATGTCATCCTTTCCCTTATCTTCCACAGTAAGTATTACAGAGAACCTTGCATCATTTTCATTGTGCTTTTTTAGCATGTGCTAAAAATGCATGTTGCTGAATTGATTATTTTGGATAAATTTACATTTATCTTCATATTCCTAAACCATTAATCATAGCTAACTCCAAATAAAATTAATGTATTTCTGCTTTTGCAAACCATGCATTCATAGCAATATTCTTGCGCAATGAGCCAAGGAATCACTCAATCTAACAAAGCAGTTTTAAAAAACCATTCTACTCAAATATCTATGCCTTTTACAAGAAATACTGAAACCTCATTTTTGGACACAAAGTCTTTAGACAATCTAAAAATGCAGTTAAATTCCAGTTCACCTGGCTACACTCTGGATTGAATTTCTGAAAGAGGCAGCTTTTATCAAAAATCCGAAAATAAATTAAACATTAGGGTCATAAATTGATGTCAGTCTATCGTATAGATACTACTTAAAAGTCAAAGCTAAGCAACAACAAGTTAACCTGAAACCAATGATTACACTATCAAATGTCTGAGGTGAAACTTATGTGGCCATTGCAAGCATAAAGGTGTCAAGAAACTGTCTTAAAGCTGTTTTGAAGTTCAAGTGATTTGATGGTATATAGATAATATACATGTAGTCTGCACTGCAAAATCAATTTAGTTATTTTTAATAATTAACTCAACCTTACAGCAAAAACCTGTTAGGGCAAGTTTAAAAGAAACAGAAAATGACACTGAGAGATCACTGTACTCTCATCACTATGAATTATTTAGAATCTTAGTGGTTAAATGATATAAGCATGTTGGCTACAAAATTGGCTGCATCCTACAGAAAATGGCATCTAACAATATACATAGGAGATGACCCCCTCCTTTCCTAAAAAAAATCTATACTGGCATCTCTACGCCATTTCATAATAATGCCATTTCATAATAATTCCACCATGTACATATAGAAGGAAATTCTCCAAAAGGAAAACTCCAATTAATACCTGACATATACACAGTTACTTGTCAAAGGTTCACATAATCTGTGAAGCATAAAATAATGAACATGTGATGTTTCCACTTTTGAAAATGTGGTAAAGATGTTAAATTATGCATCAGTCTGTACTTGTATCATACAAGGACCATACTCAGTGTGACAGTCAAGAATGAGAAATGCATATTTCTGGTGTATCAAATGTCAAAAAAATAATGGGCTGGGTTGTGTCCTACAATAACAGAATATCACATAAAAGAGAGCAGGTCTATCATCAGGACTCACCCAGGCAGAACATGAAGTGTGGTGCAGCAATTTATGAACTATAAAATTTCTCGACTTTTTTTTAAACTTTGTCATCAAACACCACATAAAATATACCGTCAACATGCTAAATGCAATCTGATGCTATTTTACCTTAATGCACAAACCACTAAATTCTTCTGCTACAGTGCTTAATTTAAATGTGTATTAACACTATTAATGATATTCCATCAGAAATTTTCTCTGTATCCTGCTGGTAGCACATTATTATTCTGCAGTACACTATATTATTATGATAATAGGGATTGCCAATGAAATTTGCTGACAGAATGCCACCAATATATTGGATTATTTAATTTAAAAAAATTAAATTTGGAGTTCAATCTAGGGCAAATGTGAACAAGCAATATGCAATACAAATTGTCATCAAGCCCGACTTTTTTATGCCACTGGAAGTCCAGTGTTACACTTTTCCAAAAACATATGTTAATAACAAATCATACAGCACTTATTGCAACACACACACACTTTTCATCAGACCTATGACTATTATATGGAGACGTCTATCAATCAGTTTTTTAAGTGACAATCAATGCTGACCCAGATACTTCCAAGTAGATTACACAGTCATTTCAGATGGTGGGGCATGACCTGTTGCTAAAATTATCTAAAATTACAAAAAAAGTTACCTTCTAACACTTCACAACTAGATTTAACCTTGACCATGTGATGATTCATATGTGTAACATATCTACTGTGAGGTGAATGTTTTACAATGCCCTCAATGCATGACTTCCAAATAATAGATAAGCAATGGAAAATATATGAAGAATAGGTGACTGGTGACAATGTGTTTACACATGAAGTTATGTCTTACTGCATTGCTGTGTGTGGGTGTGTTTAGGTATGCACGTACGCGTGCGCGCGCGTGTGTGTGTGTGTGTGTGTGTGTGTGTGTGTGTGTGGTTGTGCATGTGCGTGTGTATGTGTGTGAATATGTGAGCAATGTGCAGACAATTTCAAGAAAAAAGAGATACCTGTATCTTTGGTGATATTCTTGCTCTCTTTCTGCAGTTCTGCAATCTCTTTCTTCAGCTTTAATGCTTCTGCCTTTTGAAGACTTGGCGTCCCTAAAATTCAAGTAAATAGCAGGTATAGAAGATGCTTTTGACTCAACATACTGTACTAAACTGTTACTTCACTGAGATTAAGTAAAATTCTTCTGTTTGCACATAATAAACACATAAAAAATGACAAATGTCTCCAATCCATTACATGTATGTACATCTATGAAGTTTAATCTATCAATCATATCCTCACTCTTTTATTTCAATTCTCTATCAATTTAAGTTATAAAGTTTCATCCAAACTTTAATGTACAGTTCACAATAATCTTAAAACCACAACAACATTATGACCAAGTTTAAAGAACCTCAGAGTCTTTAACCCCTCAACCAGGGAAACTACATGTAGATGACAGGTGCTAGCTTGTTAATTCTTCGAAGGAAGTCTAATTAACAGGCCAGGTCCACTGCCCCCTCCAGCCCTGGGTGGACAAGAACAAGGGCCTTCAGGGGTACAGTGGTAAAGAACTGTTAATCTACAGCTAGGCAAGCAGCTACTATCTGGAATACTATTTCTACTCGTTGCTGATGTATTAGAAGTGCAAATTATACACCACAATCATATTCAGCTTTCACAGGGGTGGTGTGACAGAGGCATTGTGGTAGGTGTGACAAAGACATTGTGCCAGGTGTGGTAGCTATTCAGTGTTTTATACAACCAGACATCTGCAACACAATCAGGCACATGAAAACAAGGGAAGAAAGATGTAGCAGCATGCTCAACATGTAACAATAGGGTTTTTCACAGCAATCCAAAGAAGAGCAACAGTAGCAAGGTCTGCAGTTTACATACACTGTGCCTCTTAACCCTTTATCTGATGAAACAAGGGCCAAAGGGTACAGTGGACAAAGACTGCAGAAAGAAAGGGTTAAAGCGCCTATGCTGGGTCTGAAGTAGTACTAAGAGTCTAAAATGAGCATAAAAAGTAGTTAAAAACAGGGAAACATTTAACATGAAAGACAATTGTGCAAAAGTCATTAACACCAGGAGAAGACCAATTTAATGGGAGGTATTACTAATATGTATAAAAATGTTAACATCTTTTTTTAAATGTAATAATGTTATTTTTCTTACAAAACTTCAAGTTAAAATTTCATCTATCAAGAAATGGAAATACATTTGAATGCAGTTAATGATTGAAATCACAGACACTCCATGCAGGAAATGCTGCTAATACAAACTGTTTCATTTATATAATCTATTGCCTGCAGGGTTCCCCAAGGCCAGTAACGGAAGCAGAGGAAAAAGGCAATTAAGCTATGAAGATAAATTTTTGTACTAGTATGGAGTGGCGTGCATTAACTATATGGTGCAGAATATAGATATTAGACATACATATAGATCTACAGCAACACTTACCTTTCATTCCAGCATCCTCTAATATTTTCTTGATTCTTACTATTCGATGCTTATTATTCTTTAACCCAGCTAGTTCCTGCCATATTTTGGGGGCCCCCAGTCCTGCTGTCCGCAAAATCCTCTTCAAGTTTGTATAGTGCTTTTCTCCAGGTTCAGCTTTCTGAACATCAAAGTACAGCATTATCTTAATTCAACTAATTACTTAAAATGTCACTTCCAGATATTCAATGTTGAAGTACCATTTAAAATTGGTAAAGCATTTGTATATCTTTCTTTTCAGTGACTTCTCTCAAGTCTGGTCTGATAACTTAATTTCAAAATTATTGTTTACGCCTGTTCAATATTCATATACTACTGTAATTAATAACAAAAAAGTCTATTCTTAAACATTCCTTAATTTATAGACAGTCTATGTTTCAGCAGTAACTTTATCCACTTTAAACATAAACTGTATACACGCATGTTAGTTAAGCAGACAGCAAATTTGTTTGGCAGAGCAAGATTGGATAAAATAATAGATTTAATGCCAGAGGGGGTGTAATAAAGTTTGAGTATCTCAGTTAGTAGTATTTTGTTCAAACTGTATTCAGCAAGGACCATGATACTGCTCATGTGGTCAGTTATACTGTATATAGTATATAGCAAACCTTTTCCTTAGCAGACTTTGACATCTTTCTTGATCCACTGGACTTCTGGGATTCTTCCTCAGAATTGCCAGAATCAGCATTTTCTTTCTTTGCCCTTTTAGGCACTGGCTTAGTATCACTTTCACTATCAGATGAACTAGTGACATCTTTTCTAAGATTTGCAGTCAATGAGTCAGTGTCAATATTTTTTTCCCTCAATTCTTTGACGCCATTCTCAAATTCAGATTCATTTCCATTTTCTTTGACCATTAATATTGATGAATCAGCATGACATTTGCTGTCTGAAGACATGCTGCCATTTTCCTTCTTTTCGTCCACTGTCTCAGTGTAAGCTTTGGAAACAGATGATTTCCTTTTTTCTGTCTTAGTCTTTTTAGCCACTGGTTCCGAGTCACTGTCAGCTGATTCACATTTCGATGGGTTTTTAAAAGGTCGCTGTAACAGAAAATAATCTTACTATTTTGTATACATGTAAGCATACTATTCATAAATATATTTGGAAAATATAAAGTCTCTTGATTCATATATATGCATAAAATTGCCACTAAAAGAATTTGTTGGGCAAGAATAATGTAAAATTTATATGCTTAACACATTCAAACAATTGTAAATTATATATTAGCATACTTAAGTGTCAAGGTTTTCAAAACGATGGACCTACCACTAAGTGGTGTCAGTAAGTGACTTAATATGTAAGTATTGTGCCTATAATTTACCTTTCTCTTTTTCTTCAGAGACTGCTGATGGGAACTTGCATTTTCTTTTTCATTTTCTGCAGAATCACTGGAGTTGACTGTGGCTTTCCTAGATCTTTTAGCCAATGGTTCAGAGTCAGTGTCTGAGTCATCTTCTTTAGGCAAAACTCTCCTTTGCTTTTTACTTGATGGTTTGGAGTTTTTTTCATTTTTATGTTTCTTGTTGGCATGTTTGGGTTTATCAGTTACTCTATTTTTATCTAAATGTTTCCCTTTTTCGCTTTTTTTCTTTGAAAGTGCTGGTTTTACCCTAACATGCGGTTCACTATCAGAAGAGTTTGAGTCATTACCAGAGAGATGAACTTCTTCTATTTCTGAATCTGATTTTTCAGACTCACTAGAAAGTACTTTGGCAACTTCATCTGCTTTAAGTCTCCTGTGATTGGTGGAATACTTTGCCACCTTTTTGTCATCAGATGGTCTATTTTGATTTGTTTTACTTGATACCTGCATTTTCTCTGGAATCTTTTCATTTTCAGACTCAGAGTCTGAAATGACAACTTTCCCTTCTTCACCATCTGAATCTAATTCTGCAAAGACAGGCTTTTTGTTTCGCTCCTTCTTTTGTGGATTTTCTTCTCCATCAGAGTCAGAATCTGAAGAAATACTTTTCGTCCTCTTCCTGGGTATATTTTTTGGACTTTCATCCATTTCTGAATCTGTTTCTGAAGGATCATCCTTCTGGTTTGAACACTTCTTCTGAGGGGTTACTTCACTATCAGAATCTGTACTTGAAAACACTGTTTTAGTTTTGATTTGTTTAAGTTTTTGGCTATTATCAAAATCAGATTTCCTGTTTGCCGAAACTCCTTTCCTTTTCTTCACTTGCATGAACTTTTTAGGGGGAGTTTCTTCCAGATCAGAGTCAGGCTGAATGGTTTCATTACATTTCTTTCTTTGTTGCTTTTTCTCTGGAGTTTTCTCAGCCCCAACAGATTCTTCAACCTAGTAAATGATGAAAATGTTTTTAAAATAAACTTTCTGGACTACATTAATTCAATCTAAAGCTGTGCTTCAAAGAGCATGATTTTTTTTTGCAAATGGCTTTGAAACATTTTAAGTCTAAATAGGACTTATTAATCACTTTCAGTTAACAGGTTGATTGTGACAAATTATGGACTTGACCAAACATTCTAAGTTGCTTGGTTGAGCAACAAAGTATGATCTCTTCTGAATTTGAGCTCGCTTACTGATTGAATTAATGATGCTTTAAAAAATTCAAGCAATCATGTACATTTTTATATCAATTAATTATCAATTTATGACTTCTTCACTATTTATTCCTTTTGCCTACACTCCCTTTCCCTGTAACTATTAATTCTTCTGAAAGTAATTTATTACAGATGCATTAAGCTGCACAAGAAAAACTGAAATTTTAACAAATTTAAAGCAATGGGGTAAAAAAGAATGTTATCACCTGTTTCTCTTCATTTTTCTCTTTGATTCCTTCATTCAGATCCTGGTTTACACGTTCCTTGCAAGCATTCCTGGATGCCTAAAAATAAAATAAAACATTTTCAGCATATCTAATTAATCAATTCCATGTCGCATTTTACAAAAACTGAAATTCTCATCCTGAAAAAAATAAGAATATTCTCATAAAGGATCATCCTTTTAAGATCAACTTTGCCATGTAACATACTTCCTGCTATTTACTCATTTGTACCAGTTACAAATGTGATTCTTAACACAAATCTATACTGAAACAGTTAAAGTGTTTGGCTACCCTTGAAAGAGACCCATCTCTCTCATTCTCACCCAGGTTCACACCAAATGAACAGCAGGAAATGAGACTGAAGTTTTATGGCTGGAGTATCTGCCGGTACCACTAAGAGGGAGAAGCTCAGGGCCAATCGTGTGCCATTATATGCAAACTATCCCTTTGACATTTCAACTAATATTAAAACATAAAATATATGTCCTTCAGGGGGTAAGCTGGGTGTAATGGCTTATGGGCATAAAGAGAAAACATTCTGTATTGAAGTATTGATCTGACAAACTAAGAATTATGTATACCAATTAATTAAACCAGTGGTAGTACTTGTAGATAGAAAGGAATATTATGAAACTGAATTTATTCTTAACCATTCTAATAGAAATTCAGTCTGTGATCAGCTATTGATAAAGCTGTTAACTGTAATTCAGTCCTTGTAAAACTTGCTTAACATACACATTTTTTTCTCTCCCAGTGTACCAGATTAAGCCTAAGATCAGCTATTGTTCAAACTGTTAATAAACACTAAAACACTTCAAGCCTACAAACAAATTCCATTCTCATCTTTGACATGCCTAAAAGATATTTGTGTGTAACAGTAACGAGAACACAATCTGCTCAACCACTGCAAACTGAACTCCCAAAATTATATTCAGATAATAGAAAATCTACAATGCCAAGAGCCTGAGGACATGTGCTTCAAGTAGGAAATGGCCATCAGGCACAGGATATGATTGTATTGGAATTCCTTGTGAAACAGTTTGCCACTCTAATAAATGTCGCCTCTGACACAGCCTGACCTGCAAAGGATTGTTATAGTTTGGTATACAGGAAGTCAAGAATAGTACTTTAACTTAATGAGCAGCATAAAATATATACAGCATAAGTAGCATTTTTGATCACGGTTTACACGTGAATACAGGTAAATATCTGTATTAAACAAAGCTGACATAAGTATGCAGCATTACTGATAAGTTTCAAAAATTCAGTACATTTTTGCACTTTCTGCTATTCTTCAACTTTTAAAGTAAGTTGTAAATTCCAACTGTAAAAGGTATGGCATGAGTTCATTACATTTTCTGAAAATTTAACTTTTTCCAACTGACAAAAAAAACCCTCTCTCTCTCTCTCTCTCTCTCTCTCTCTCTCTCTCTCTCTCTCTGTGATGCACTGTTTCTTACAATTTCTGATAATGCTTTCATTATTGTTGCCTTCAGTTGGTCCTTCTCCTCTACTGACACCAGACCTCTGCCAATGTGAGCCTCATACTTCTCACGGACAATCCTTCTAGTCAATGACCTACAAATAAAGAAAATGATGTTTCTGTTCCTTAAAAATTCATTTAACCTCACTTATTACACATATAATTCATGTTTAATTGCTGTTTTTTCTTTCAACCTTAGCATAGAGCTTGTTACCGGTACACGTGCTTATAGACACATGTATCTACTAATACCTGTACTTCCTTGGTTTGAAGCAGCTAAGTACAGCAGATCTTTCTGTAATGAATTCTCTTGAAAAATCAAAGTTTGTCACCAGTTTCTAATGTGTGCACATAAATTCCACATGCTCTCAGGGAAGGGAACTGACCTCCATTGCCATAGAATCCCCTTATAGTACAGGGGCAAATCCAGTGACACTTTCTGACAGTCTTTCAAATTATCTTAGTTGATCCATCAATACTGAAAAATTCTGATCATCTTCTAGAAGACCCAGAAGACAGCTTCCATCCATCCCTGTAGTAGTGGATTTATAACCTTACTAATTTACTGTTTGTTTTTTTAAACACAAAGATGTAAATATTTGTCTCTAGCATATACTGGGGGGTACTGAGGATGTACATGTACATACTGTGCACTCATATATGTGTTGGCCTAAAAATTCATGAATTTTTTAACATACCCGGTAGGATAGGACTGCAAGAAAGAGAAACTGTGAACTATAGAGACTCATAGGACTACAATGCATGGATCAAGCTGGTGGCTTGAAAAACAATGGGACTCAACATTTACAGGGAAGGTACAATTGTAATTTTTTAGCCTAAAACTACAATGTATACAAATAACTATGAAGAGGTTACACATGTGATGATACAGTGTACTACTAACAGGAATGTATACATGGAATTTAGTGCTATATTGGTATACTAGTAAGACTTTGGTCCAAGCATACTAGTACATGTATACTAGTAAGACTTTGGTCCAAGCATACTGGTACATGTACTGGTACTAGTACATGTGGGTATCAGTATCTAGAGCTTTTCCTGGCGATATACACTTGTGTCAATTGTGACTAGTAACCTGTGACCGACAACTCTTAGGATCCCATCAAAGTTCTAAAAAGTTCAATATCAACGTTAACATTTATCACAATAATTTTGTAACGTTTTATATCATTATCAGCAGTAAAACTTAAAAGGCGCGAAAAACAAAATTAAAGATAAGAGAAAAGAGATACATCTACTGACAGTATCTTACTGCAAACGTTCTAAACTTTCGTCACAATAAACCACGAAAATTGAAATACGACAATATAAAAAAGACTCCTAACATACCCTAGATTTTCGGTGTGTTGAAAAAGATTCATGATGAATTTTTCCATTTTACTAAAGTTTGTCTTTGCGAAATTTTAAGAATCGCTGTAAAAGAGCTTCGCACCCGTATACAAGACAAGCTACTTTAGTATCTGTTTGGTATTATTTTCCATTTTCATTCTTCAAGGTCAGCACATGTGTCATGTTGTTATTGTTAGTAAACTAATTATCCCAACTGTTCCCTGCTTTTTTGTCCAATTAAAAATGAGCGAAGACAGATTTCAGCTTGTCGTTAGGAAGAAGAAGGGAAAGGGTACAGCAAATAAACGACCTTGCAAACGTCAGCAAGATCGGTGCAGTGTTGACAGAGACCATGATGATGATGATGGTGGCAGTGATGAGAATTTGGATAGCTTGATAGAACGGATTCAGAACTGCAGGTAGAATGTGTGTTATATAGTACGTCTGCCACCATAGATATCTTGGGTGTTTTCAAAAGCAAGAATAAAAAGCAGCAGATTTGAGTTTACATTCAGCAAAAATAAATAATAATTTATTATAATAACACATCGAAATTATATATAAATTAATTTAGAAATAAATGTAATGGGGAACTGTAGTAAAAAAAACAAGGGGTATGGTAAGAATGATTCAAATTTTACAGTACACTTACCAAATATGCACAATGCAGATACTAGTACCACATAGCTGTTTCCACAGTTGAAAATTTTTAACAGTATTCTACCTTTACATTTTCATGTAAATTGTCACATATCTCTCAATCATATTTGTGTTTTGACTTTCAAAAAATTATATTTTTGTTTTTCCTTTCATAAATTATTTTCAAAAAAAGTTTTAATTTATTTGGAAGTTATCAGCAGAAAACAAATTTGAGGCTTCCTGTTTTGGCTCATATTTATGCAGGACACGTGATCAGCAACACATTAATGACTGTTCCCTGTGTGCATTCTTTCTGCTCCATACTTGCATGCAGTGCCACAAATATGTAGCAGAGTAAACTAATGTAACAATCATGAAAAGACCATTGTTATATATTTGTATGGATTCATTGCATTGAGTCTTGCCTATTTTAACAATTTACCGGCACATACTTGCATGGTACTCATACATGTATACTGTTACGTTATCCATATTATATGTATTTTTCTGCATTATAGTTGTTGTATAATCCTGAATCAAATTGTATGTTTTAATCTGAATCAATGGTCTTGTTTCTCTTATTTCAGTGTAGAACTGCTCTGCAGCCCATTTTACAAGAATTTATCTGATAATTTGAAGAAAACAATAGAATCAGTCAAAGATATCCACGATGCAGATCATCAAAAATGTGTGACAATGGTTTGCTATGGGATAGGCAATTTTGCATCCTGTTTGATAGCAAGATACCAGCTAGGATTGTTGCTTTGTATAAGACAGGAATTTCAGGCAAGCTGCTCATTTTTTTGTTCGTGTTTACACAAAACTGGGATTTGATATGTTTAAGATTATTTTTTTTGGTTGACTAAAAATATTTTATTGTTGGTAAAAGCTTAAATTGAATAATGAATCATTTCACAATAACCGTGTGTGTGTGTGTGTGTGTGTGTGTGTGTGTGTGTGTGGTGCAATGATTTTAAATATGGAATTATCTCTGTTTCAGATTCCCAGTGAAAGAATACACTTGTATGACCCTATGTTTTCCAAAACAGAGATAAGAACATTAAATTCCTTGGGTTGTTCTCTAATCACAGTTAATGAGGTAAAATAAAGTGCAACGCTGTCCACACAGCAGTGCATACCATTGCTGGAATAACATGTCTTTTGTATTCTTAACAAATTCAGATACTGGTATTTGTTTGTTTTTTGTTTGTTTTGTTTATCCAACAATAAAATTGTCATGAAAAATAAATATTTTTATCAAACAAAAGGTAGATTCAAATATATGTCATTCATGAGAGGATGAAATGTTTTCTTCTGTTGTGTTTTTCATTTTCTTCAGGTAATGAAGGGTCTTAAATCTATATTTCCCTTCTGCCAAGTTATTTTAGTTGTTCCATATTACAAGCAAGATCACAATTTGTATCAGTTGCTTATGCTGCTCAGTGCATGATTTCTAAACATTTGCTAAACATTTGTTGTTACTTTATCACACATAATACATGTACTACTGATTGACACCTGTTTATTTCCAGGAAGGGAAAAGACAAGCTGAAGGCTTGACCATATTCCTGATGCTCCACTGTGGTAAGCCATTGTACAACAATCTCCTGTGGGCAAACTGGAAAGCCAGGCTACTGCAGAATGTGATCATTGTCGGGAACAGCTTCAAGAATATGGAACTGAAGTGAGTGAGTCTTCTGCAGTACTGTATTTTTTTACATATTAGCAACGTGCACTTAATAAACTTGAATAGTAAAGTGTGTTTCATCTGCACTAAACTGAAGCCAAGGGTTGTTTATAACAGGTCTCATTTATTT